GAAGGCCCCCCTGCGTCCAGCGGGTGCGCGGCCCTTCTGAGAAGCCACCTGCCTCTTTTGGAGGGCTGCCCTCTAGAACAAAGGAAGGCTGCCACCCCTCCCCCGTCGTCGGCGGCGGCGGCGGCGGCGTCGTCGTCGTCGTCGTCGGTCGTCGTCGTCGATCGTCCTAACCCTGGCAATCTGTGCCCGAGGAGGAGGAGCAGGGGGATGAGGAGAAGGAGGAGTAGGAGGATGACGACGAGGAGGAGAGTAGGAGGACCAGGGCAGACCCTGGATACGTCAACGATGCTGCAGCACAATCCCTCCAACCATGCATCGTGAACGACCCCTTCATACTTGCAAGTTTGCTCTGGCTCATGCTTCATTGCGTTTCGTCGTCACCCTGAGGTTGCACAGAGCTGGTTGTAGTGGAAATTCTTCACGCTTCGCGTAACCCCGCCAGCCCATTCAGAAGCCCTGCCCAGGAGAGCTGACGGGAAATGGCAAGAAGGGACACATATCATATAGTGAAACAAAGTGGGCAAGGAGAGGAGGGTTGTCCTCTGAGAGCTCTTTTGGAGGGTCTTGGGGTCCTCTTGGGGTTCTTGGGGTGGTCTTGGGGCCCTCATGGGGCCCTTTTGGGAGCCTCTTGGAGCTCTTTTGGAGGGTCTTGGGGTCCTCTTGGGGCCCTCTTGGGGTCCTCTTGGGGCCCTGTTGGAGCTCTCTTGGGGCTCTCTCGGGGGTTTCTTGGGAGCCCTGGAGGGCCTCTTTGGGCAATCTTGGAGGCTGTCGATCAAAAGAGGGGGGGTCCTATAATTCCGCCCCCCCCCGGGGCCCTCAAAACCGCCTCTTAGGGCCCTCTTGGGGCCCTCTTGGGGCGCTCTTGGGCGCTCTTGGGGCCGTCTTGGGGGCCCCTTGGGCCCCTCTTGGGGCCGTCTTGGGGCATCTTGGGATCATCTTGAGGCCCCCAAAGCGCGTCGGAAGCGAAACTGCGAGAAGGCAACAATCATCTTTTTGCACATGTATTTGGAGGATTTGGGGTTCTTGGGGGGTCCTGAGGGGGCTCCAAGGGCACTTGGAACTGTCTTGTGGCCCTCTTGGGGCATCTTGGAGGCATGTTGGAAGCCATCTTGAGCGATCTTGCGCTGTCTTGAGCCATCTTGGAGATCATCTTGGGCTCTCCGAGGCGCTCTTGGAGCCATCTTGGGTTATTTTGGACGCTCTACCGCTCGCGGAACGCCCCGTCCAGGTCCAGAGGAGGGGGTAGGGGGAGGGGTCAAGTTACTTTCTCCGCCCGCAAGAGCCGTCTAGCTCATTCTCACCCGCCCTCCCACCACATAAGTGGCACCCGAGTTTCGGCATAGCCAGTGGTCGCCATAGGATGGGCAACCGCATGGAACCGCAGCGGACGCCAGGTGCGCCAGGCTCGCCGCGGGTTCACCTTCGCCTGGTTTGCCGTCCTCGTCAAAAGCAACGTGGTGCCCCCGCCGTCCACGTGGTCGAGCTGCTGATGTGTGTGGGGGAGGTCAGCACTGTCCCGGGCTTGCGCGCAGCAAGCAGCATTATACGGGCACCACCGCCGTTCATGTCAAAAACAATGATTGCAGAGGATCGCGGGTGGCCAGACCAATACCCGCGACGGTATCGCAACGTGCTCTTTGTATTGGTTTTTGTCACGAATGGCGGTCCTGCACCAAGTGGCTTCAGTAAGGGTGCCTCGCCATCCTTGTTAAAAACAATACAACGCGCTCACGGGCCGCCAGCGCACGGCCCAGAATTGGCTGCAATGTGCACTTCGTATTGTTTTTTGACAGGGATTGTGGGTGGTGTTGGCAGGGCGGGCCCCGCAATGTGCATTTTGTATTTTTTTTGACAGGGATGGCGGGGGTGGGGTCGGCATTGGGTTCTCATGGTTCCGGGTTGGCTGCCGGCCGGGTGGGGGAGGGGGCGTATATTAATAGGGAACAGTGATAAACCCCTCCCCGAAGGGGAAGAAGGGGTTGTGGAAGAGGAAAGAGGAATCTCGTTAGACCGCCTGTCGCCCAAAGGGCTGGCGGGATTACTCGACGCGGGGATCCCCATATGTGCATCTCATTATCTTGGCACGTCTTTCTATGCGCATATGTCAATGAGCGCCTGTGTGTGAGGGCGAACCGCTCGCTCGAGACATTCCCACAGTCTGCAAGTCTGAGCGCGAGCCAATTGCAAGTCTGAGCGCGACTGATTCTGATTGCGAGATAATTTGCGTGCGAGCGAGCCTGGGTTTGAGTGTGTCTGCGTGTGAGTAAGTCTGAGTGTGAGTGCGTCCGAGTGTGATTGGGTCTGAGTGCGAACGAGTCTGAGTGTGAGTCAGTCTGTGTTTGAGCGGATCGGAGCATGATGAGTACGAGCATGAGTGAGTCTGGGCTTGCGTGGGTTTGAGCGTGAGAAAATGCGAGTGTGAGTGAGTCTGAGTGCGATTGAGTCGAGTGTGAGTGGGTATGAATGCGAGGCAGTCTGAGTGTGAGTCGGTCTGCGTTTGAACGGGCCGGGGGATGATGAGTCTGAGCATGAGAGAGCTTGAGTATCCAGCTGCCTTCGGCAAGTCCCGCCACCGTGCCAGCCCAACACATTGGGACCCAGGGGCCCCCAAAACCAGGGCCGATTCATGCAGCGAGATGCGTCCCGGAGAGGGGGGGGTCCCTTAGAATATTACAAAAAAAAAAAAAACATAACAGGACAGGACTTGGCATTCTTCCACGCCCCAATGTGCGAAGGCACGGTGGCGGATGAGCGAGTGAGTCTGAGTGTGACTCTGAGTGTGAGTAAATTTGAGTATGAGCATGAGAGAGTCTGAGTCTGAGTGTGAGTCTGAGTGTGATTGAGTTTGAGTAAGAGTATGAGAGAGTCTGAGTGCGAGTGAGTTCTGCGTGTGAGTAAGTCTGAGTGTGGGTGAATCTGAGTGTGTGGGTGAAGGAGAGCGAAGGAGAGTGGAGGAGAGTGGAGAGTGAAGGAAAGTGAGGCGGAAGCGTCTAAAGTAACACTTAGAGCTTCAGAATCTCGAACCTCGATCGTCCGGCCCTGGCCAGCCGAGTTGTCCGCGTCCTCCTCCTCCTCCTCCTTTTCCTCGTCCTCGTCCTCGTCATCGTCCTCCTCCTCCCCTTCCTGTTCCTGCTCCTACTCGTGTTCATGCTCGCCTCCTTCTCCTCCTCCTCCTCCTCCTCCTTCTCCTTCTCCTCCTCCTCTTTCCCCTCCTTCTCATCATCGTCCTCGTCCTCCTCATCATCCTCCTCCCCAGCCTCCTCCTCCTCCTCCTCCTCCTCCTCCTCCTCCTCCTCTTCCTCCTCCTCCCCCTCTTCCTCCTCTCGTATTCATGCTCGCCCCCTTCTGGGAAGTGCTGAAACCAACGCATCGCCAGAATCATTCTCAGAAACTGCTCCGAAAGCCTGCTCTTCCTCCCGCCCCCCCTGGGAGTGCTGAAACCAGCGCCTCGCTGAGACATCCTCCAAACCTGCTCCGAAAGCGAGACATGTTGAGCCACCGAACGGGCAACCCGCCTGAGACATCCTCACAGACTGCTCCGAAAGCGAGATGAGTTGCGCCACCGAACAGGCAAACCGCCTGAGACATCCCCACAAACTGGGCGCGAACGGGGCGAGGGAGATACCCCCCCGCCGCCTGGCCAGTACGAGGTCCTGTCCGCCCCCCCGAAGGATCATCCCGTCGATGGTGTCTCTGCCTTGGCCGTCCGCTCCCGCAGTGGTGACTACTGCGGCTTTGTCGGGATGTGCAGGGGCAAACAGGTGAGGTGAGTCGATAGCAATGGTGATCGGCCTGCGTCAGCGAAAGCAAGAGCAATGGGAGCTTTCATATTGGCTGAGAGGACGCTGGAGGGCACCGTGACTGCTGTCGGGCGGAGTGTGATGTCCCCCAGGGTTGGAGGTCCGTAGTCTCTGGAGGCTGCAGTGCTCGTCCTTGCCTGACTCGGAAGCTGGGCCAGCAAGGGACTCGTCGTAGTCAGCCGACGCCACGATGCCGTCCTCCTGCTTCACACCTTCGCCCTCCTGCTTCGCACCTTCGCCCCCCTCCGCCGCTTCGTCCTGCTGGGAGGCGTCCACTGGTGCACCGGCTCCTTGCTGGGCCTCCGCAGAGGCCTCTGGAGCTTCGGCGGCCTCGGCATCGTCCGTGAGCGAGTGCTCTGGGCCAGCAGGGATGCCCAGACCAGCCCGCGCGTGCGAGTCCGCGGGGGACCCCGGCTCCAAGGGAGGCAGGAGCGGGCGCTCGGGACCTTCGTGGCCGCTGCTGTGTGGCGACGGCGACGGCGACGACGACGACGACGACGACGACGACGACGATGGCGACGAAGACAACGACGACGACGACGACGACGACGACGACGACGACGGCCACGGCGACGACGATCGACGACGACGACGACGATCGACGACGACGACGACGATCGACGACGATCGACGGCGACGACGATCTCAGGCGTGAACCATATTCCCGCCGACGAGCAACCCTCACCGGAGCGAGCCCAGGGACGTCCAGAGCCCCTGCGCCTGGTTGCTCCACATCCGGGGGGCCTCTTGCTGAGGCCGGCGCCTGAGGCGAAGCCTCCGGGTTGTGCGCGCTGGATGCCTGAGCCCACGCATCCGCGATGTCGTCCTCGTGGGTGATTTTGCATACCACCTGCGTCAGCGGCGGTCCATCCGCGAGCGTGTCCGCCAGGATGCGTGTCAGCGCCGTCTTGGCGTCACGCGCGTCGAGGGTCTCCAGGACCAGGCCTAGCAGCTGTTCGTCGCGGTTCTTGTCGGCAGAGGCGCTGGCGCCGCCGAGGCTGCTCGGGAGGGCCGCGACGGGGCCCCTGACGATCGCGGCGGTCGTAGCTGCTGTCGCCTGCCGTTGTCCTGCAGACGCTCCGTCCTCCAGTGAAGCGCCACGTTTTCCCCTCCACCCGCGCGACGTCACCTGCAGCAGGGACTTGTTCCTCATCCTCCGACCTGGGTCCAGCTTCAGAGCCTGTGCTGCCGCGCGTGTCG